TATTTACGACTATCAACATAACATCAATAATTAGTAAAGAAGGCGAGACATTTCAGCGTGTGCACTCTTGTTATATTTTGTTGTGGAGAACATCAAAGAAATTTAGAAAAATATAATTAAAGATAAAGTTTCTTCCATGTTTTCTGTGACAAAAACAAAATTGTGCAAATTAGGAAAATGAAATGAGGCTACATTATTGAATATTTTTGAGTTTGAGTTTTTTCTTTTTATTCCTATTTTAAAATTTCATTGGCATTTGAAGTAATGAGTTAAAACTAGTTTTTATCAATCATTTTGTTTTCAAGATGTACAAACAGTACAGAAGGTTAAGGTTTTGTGTACAATAGTTTACTATGATGTTATGGTCAAATAAACTTGAAACTTTGTACATTCAAGTGTTCATTATGAAGTCATCGATTTTTTAAGTAATTACAAATAAGTTACTGAATATGGAAATCTGATTGTGGAAGCAGGGCATAATGTGTTATGGAAACACATCTCAATCCCATAGAGCACCGCCCTCCTCACCAGCCTCTCAGTAATGGAATATTGACTTTGAAAATTTCCTTAGTTTACACTGTAAGATTTGTAAGAAGTTCAGTTTAAGGAGAACCACTAAAAGTAGGTCATGGATATTTTATATGCAGTTGAATAAGCTTTTGGACAATACATGTGCTTGGGGATTTTTTTATCCTGAACCCTAAATCATGGTTTTATAACTTAGAATCTTTTGCAGTTTATATGGAAAGTTTATGCTTAGGCCAGTTTAAAATCGACCACTTATAAGAGGAGGATTTAGAGGAGGCCTAAGCCCCCTTTTTGTGGGACAAATTTGGTTGATATTATATTTGGGAAATTACTAAAGCATGACAAAAGAGATGCAGTAGAGAGCAACCTTAATATTTCTTAGAAAATACTTTTTTCGGACCTGTAATGAAAAGTATGGTTATAAACAAAATACATATTTTTTTCAGTTAGAAACATATTTTTTATGAATCAAAATTTTAACAAATGTTGGAAACAAATTTACATAAAAACTTTCTAAATGTATCAAAATTCTGTGTTGTAATATCTTATAGATTTTGTTTTTTCGGGATTTTTCCCAATATGTTTAAGAAATCTGTAGCATATAATTTTAAAAATTTGCTTGCAGATTTTATTTCGGGATTTTTCCCGAAATGGGTAAAAAAAATCTATGTAACAAGTGTGTGCCTGATAATAGATTTATATTTTCGGGATTTTTCCCGAAATGTGAAAAGAAATTATTAGTCATGAGTTCTAGCATATACGTTCTGTTTTCGGGATAAATCCCAAAATATCCGAAGACATCTGTGTTATACATTTTTCACTTAGTTTATTTTTGTCTGGATTTTTCCCGAAATGTGTTTCAGATCTGTTTGTCAACATTCTTTGCCAACATATATGTTATAAATAATAATGTTGATAATGATTTTGGGACATTTCCCGAAAAGTTGTCACATACATCTTTACCACAAATTTTTAAAAACTTTCATATATTTTGGGAAATTTCCCGAACATTAAATGTAAATTTTATCAATTATAAGAATAAAAACATGGAATATTGTAAAATATGTGTGTTTCTTTATGAAATCTGCATTCAATTTATGGTAAACATTGAAAAAGATTATAGAAAGGAATAAAATGGATTTTACTCTTTTAAAATAGATTCAGTTAATTATACTAATTTTTTCTAGATTATAATATAATTATATGTATCTTTTTCAAATTTTTAGTTCTATTTACGACATTTCAATAGAATATGGGAGGAACGCTTTTTAATATTTGTTTTTAAGAGAAAATTATAATGACAACCGACTTTCAATAAAATTATTTTCTAACCCTGTAGAAGTATTTATGTGCTAATGCTAGATTATGGTCATTAAAGAAGCTCATTAGAAGATATTCTAATAAACCATACAAGTTACGAAATTTATACGCCATAAGATGCGACAAGACATGCAAGAGTTACATCCCCATCTAGAAAAAGAAAATACATAATTGGCCTCTTTTCTCTATTTAGCTTATCTGCTATTTTGTACTAATTATAGATATTGTGATGTTGTTGTAGAACGTCCCAAAAAAGTTTAATTTCTAATAGAAATGACTTCAACCCATTCAATTTTAGCTGAGATCACGGAGTTGGCTTACCTAGATGTGAATCAATCATTTATAAAAATACATTTAAAGATGCTTAACGGAAATGCTGTCTTAACGTGGATTCATAAGAGAGTGGATAGACAGTGACGTGTCCTAGCTAGTTGCAAGATTTATACGCAATATATTTAGGGCAAATATTTTATGTTTTGATCATATAACAAAGCGATGCGCTTTCTTGCCAATTAAAGAGATTTATTAATAAACTGTTTGTTCGCCAATCTGACATCTGTTTAAAAGCTTTGAAAACCGTCTTGTTACATTTCGATGTTGAGTCATATTATGCAACTGCTACAGGCAACCATTAGCTGATTAAGGAACGCATGCAATTACAAAACGTTTGTTTCTAATTTCAGGGATGAAAAAAGTACAAACAGAATTAAAACGTCCGTATCAAATTTTTATAAGAATACGAGGTATGATTTACAATGATACAACTATCAACCCGTTCTCTCCGCAACAGTAATTAAGGGCGGATTTTTTTTTTGGGGGGGGGATGGGCATGGGGTCTGGGCCCCCTAATGGAGTTTCATATGTAACAAATACAAAGACATTTTACAAGTACCACTCCAAACGTTGGCTTGAGGTTGAGGCCTCCCCCTCTCCCCCTCCCCGTTTTTCAAAATCCTGGATCCTCATCTGTTGATGACATCAAAAGTGATGACATCAAAACTGTTTATCGACATGGATAATGTGTAAAATTACGCTTCCGCCCGTCAATATAAAGCTAGGTCCATGCAGTCATGCAATGACACCTCTTCCACAAATGTGTTTTGCAATTTGAGAGTACTTAAGTTTAAATTCAAGCTATAATGAGGTCTTCAAAATTTAATAGCTCATACAGTTTGCTTTGGTTATAATGCATAGTAAATTTCTGAAGAAAGTGAAGCTGTGAATACCTATTGTGTAAAGGTTGGTCTTCTATCCAATTCGGTCACCTTGATAGACAATTTAAGAAAGAGATCGATTTTAAAACGGTAAAGCTTAATGGCACAAGTATTCAATGGACTGGAAGAATCCGTGCAGAATTTTTAATTCTCGACATGTCCTTCGAAGATTTTGGTTTTATACTATAAGACCCCTTTTCTTTAACACAAAAAACGAAAATACTAATAAATAAACACATCAAAAGCACAACTTATTTATTTATAAAAATATTACCTGGAAAACATCTTATTTACTAGGAAAAAAGTAATAAACTTATATAATAAGTACTACTTGAGTGCTAATCTAAAATTAAAGACCGCGGGAATAATGACCAAGTTCCGTGTTAAACTTGCAGTTTTTCTTTATTTTAATTTTTCATCAACAACTTTTGCCTTTTTTATAGATGATCTCTAAATTTTTATTAGAAATATCACTCAAAGCGAGGCGAAAGATACCAAAGGGACATTCAAACTCATAAGTCGAAAAGAAACTGACAACGCCAAGGCTAAAAAAGAAAGAGACAAACGGACAAACAAATTAGTACACAAAACACAACATAGAAAACTAAAGACTGAGCAACACGAACTCCACCAATAACTGGGGGTGATCTCGGGTGCTCCGGAAGGATTTCTAAAACGTTATCACACAATCAATTACAATTGTGTTCTAAAAACAAATACAAAAAGAAGTGACATTTTTAGTAACTTAAAACCGTAAAATTTTATAGATTAGATGACAATAGTACACAAAAAACAATAGAAAACGTAAGACTAAGCAATACGAACTCCACCAATAACAGAAGGGTGTCTAAAACGTTATCAAACAATTAGTTACAATTGTGTTCTAACATGGACAAGGACAAAAAAAAAAATACAGAAAAAAGTGAAATTTTTAGTAATTCAAAACCGCAAAAGATTATAGATTAGATGAGAATGGAAACTCAACTGAAATTCTGAAAGATGTTTATTCCGTAAATAAAATTATTTCGATGAAATGTAAGCATGAAAGACCAAATAAACATTTGGAAAGGTCTAGCGAATAACAAAATTACAAAAATAGTCTATTCGGAAAAAGCGTTTTTTTCTTTTTCAGAAAATGTACACTTACGAATTTCTTATGACAGGGTGGAAAGTAAACAAGGCATATGCAAGTTTAATTTAAGACTTATTCCAGCCGTGTATTTATTTGTGAAAATTAAACTCAAAAGTAAAACGTTTTTTGCCTTTTTATCACCGCACTGCTTTTACAACTGACAAATGAGTCTTGTGCAAATTGAATAATGCATGCATATGGTTAAAGTACAATCTTATCATACACTCGTTCATTTTTGTCCGTGGTTTATTTGTCCTCTGTAGATATTAAGCATATTTTTTTTTTAACTACTTACCATGTTCACCCGAAAATTTATAAACCAACGTCTCTTTAACGCTTAATTGAAGTGTGTGTGTTTTCCTGTGATATGCCTATCATCATAAAATGTGATACTATTATTTGTTTTTGCGTACATCTCTTTCATCATTTCGGCTCGACCTTATTATAAATTAAATCAATAACACCATATGTACAACATACATAACACAGAATGAATCTTAATTCGAATTTAACAGTTTTAAATATAGATTATGAGGAGATTGAGTGTCTCTACCATGGATCATCTACTTATTTTTAAACAAAGATAGATCGAATGTTCGCCACAATGTTAGCAAAGTTCACAAAATGTTTACATAAATTAAAAGATCTAATTAATGTCAGTTCCCAATAACATGTACCACTTGCACGCGATCAGTTGTAACTTGACATAGTGACCTGTTTCTGGCGAAAATATTTATACTACACCTCTCAAAATGTTGATTACGTTGAAAAGCAGATTTCTGTAACTATTATTAACTTGTACTTACCTGATATGTGAATATACATATTACACGTCTCAAGATTTATAAATCCAACTATCAGTAAGATCTTCACACTTAAAATAGAGATCGACGTCCGGAAAATCGTTTCATCTATCGCTCAAGTCATGCAAATTATACACTTGTTCTGTGTGTAATGTCAAACCGAAGTTAGTTTATAGTTCATATTCATTCATGTTAAATGGGAGAAGAATCAAACTAAAATCAATTCCATCACCATTTCCAATACTTTCGTTCTGTTTATTTGGTTCTGACTGCTATTGATCGGATTAATCATAATCATCAATCTCTGTCCTTGAAAATTTCCATGTTTTTAAATAATATTGTATTATTCAAAAGACAGAATGGGCCACATAGGGGCAACATGAGGTTTGATAGCTAAACAAGTACAAAAGAACAGTAGTGTGGAAAAGAATCACGTACTTGATTGATAAAATGTAAATGAGAAAATAAGCACACAAAACGCCAGCTTCATCAATAATTTGCATTGTACGTGTTGTAAAAGCCAATATTACATTTATATAGGATTCATAACGTTTAAGGCAAATGATCATAAATTTACTCACACAATATAAAATATATTTGTCCTCATCATCTAATATATCGAAGAATTTTTCCTCCTCATTTAACCAGATATATTTGTTTACTATATTAAATATGAGAGTACAACTTGCTTTCGTACATTGTTGCTTTGTCACAATTGGTTAAACATGTAATCAGGTCTTTCCACTTTTCCGCGGAAAGTCCTTTTGATTTTGTTCTGACTATTATTTTTTTTCCGCCAAATTTTGTTCTTGCATGTAATTTTTGTTTCGCAACATATCGCTTAAATACTTGGTTTATGTTATCATACAGTTTATGCGCTTTTTATTTTGACCCTGCTTAACCGAACAATATTCTTTGTAAGAATTATCTCCCCAAACACTGTTTTTCTTGTGTGCGCATCTCCTACGCAACCGTAAAAGAAATTAATTTTTCCAAAAAGAAAATGGTGTCAAGTTCAAAGGTCAAGGTCATTTTCTAAATTTTGCTTTTTGCTTGTGTGTGCATCTTATCTTATACTGTAAAAGCTAGATACAAATGAGGGGACCCTAAATGTTCGGGTTGTTGAGACAAAGAAATTGTACATTTAGTCCGAAGCGATCTGATGATATCTTATAGGAGTCATTGCCCCATAAATCTTAAAATTAAAGGTAAATCGAATATTCCATCATTCTGATACATGATAAAGCCATAGTGTTTCTTGCAAAGGGAAGGGTGACACATGACCTTGAAAACATATTGTCTTCCATGTGATATTTTTCTGTCTTAATATTGTCTTCCATTTGAGATTTTTCTGTTTCAATATTGTCTTCCATTTGAGATTTTTCTGTCTTAGTATTGTCTTCCATTTGAGATTTTACTGTTTCAATATTGTCTTCTATTTGAGATTTTTCTGTTTCAATATTGTCTTCCATTTGAGATTTTTCTGTTTCAATATTGTCTTCCATTTGAGATTTTTTCTGCTTCAATATTGTCTTCCATTTGAGATTTTTCTGTTTCAATATTGTCTTCCATTTGAGATTTTTAATATGTTACGGTTTCCTGACAACATTCGTTGTCCCATTTGAGATTTTTTATATCTTACGGTTTCCTGACAACATTCGTTGTCATATGACTGATTTTTCAATATTTGTGGCATCATTTGATTCACGAGTTCTTTCTTGTTGATTTCCATTTTTGGTAGATATTCCAGTTTCAGACTTATCATTTATATTATACACAAATACTCTGACATGTGACTGGTTTACAGAATCGTCGTCATGTGTTTCGTCAACCAGACATTTAACCAAGTGAGTATGTTCATCTCCTATAGTCTCTTGACAGTTGTTTGCTGCCGAGTCGCTAGTTTTATCTAAGTCTTCAGTCGCATCTCCGGATTATTTTCTCTTTCACTGGTGTCTATATTCCGATAATGTTCTAAAGAAATGTCTTCCGATTTATTATTATCCTCCATGGTGTCTCGCCGTTGATGTCTTTCAGTTCGACAAAGACTTATCTATATACCTTATATTATTGTTATTCTCTGTGATTTGTCATTTGTAAGTTTCCTAGTTTTTTAAGTTCAAGATAGGTCAAAGTTTTCCATATCTATCTGGACTTTGCAGTCGTCGCATTCGCAAGCGCATTATTTGATGTGGAAACAGGTCAAGGGCGTTCGATTCTACTGAAATAGAAAACAACACGTGTCATATACTATTATTTGTTACCTTGCATAATACTATTTATGTTAATATCCATTGCGCAGATTGGATTTGTTTTACTGCGCCTTAATTGCCAAATCATTCAAATCGGTTAGAAATTATAATTAATAGATATGATGAATATGTGTATCTTGTGCGCGCGTATGTGTGTGTGTGTGTGTGTGCGTGTGTTTGTGTGTCACATTTCTTTATATATAATTTGTAACTGTCTCGTAATTGTGTCATGCATTCTAAGGGAATAACAAGAAGTCCTTAATTGAGTTGTTGACATTCCTCGTTTAAATGATCTTAAATAAATGTCGAACTAAAACAACTTTATTCAACAAGACGTTGTATGAATAAATATATTGTATACTACGCTCCTGCTTTTAAATACTTTTAAGCAAAAGGAAATACAAACACCAAAAAATGTGAAAGCATAAACGAAATAAGGATACAGTTTAATCTACTAATATTACACTTGGTACAAAGTATAAAGAGGACAGTTTAATCTACTAATAATAAACTTCATACCAAATATAATGAAGACCTGATTTGTACTTGCTGACGAAAATCTGACAACGTTTCTTAGTATCGCATCAATTTGAGGAACATATATTATGCGGCTGAAAAGAAGTGTAAAATGCATTTATAAGAGTTAGATCTGATAATGTGTCACAAGGTATCGTTATAGTACAAACATTCCGTGTAAACAAATTAATGTTTATAACATACATATATGAGAAATACAAAACTTGTAAGTACTAGCTAGTATAATTATCCTCCTCATATATCAATGTTTCAATGTTGTGAGGTTTTTTTGCCTATTAATAATCTCATACTTGTGTCTTTATGTTTATCAAATGTATATTTCGAAATTTGTGTTAAATTTCACCTGAAATATTGGATTAGAAACCAATGAAATATTCGTAATGATATTCTTTTGCACAAAGCAAGCAGGAATTAGATTAGTAATACATGTGTCTGAAAATGTAACCAATATGAAGCTTGGAACCAAAAGTCAAGAACCTCTGATTTGCAGTTCATGAGAAAAATTAAGACTGAAATGTGTTATTTAACTGAGGTATATTGACCGACACTTAAAAGGATGAATGTTTTAAAAAAAATCTGTGGTATCTCTATTATCTGTATTTGCACTATCTTTATATTTAACATGTAACCATGAACATATCTTTTGCATGTCATGGTTTTTGTTCAAGTTATTCAAGTTTATACAAGATAAATGGTTTATGATGAGGAATTTTGTATGCGCACATAAAGATGGCGGACGATGTTCTAGAATAATGAATCTGACATCATTAATTGAATATAGGGAATACAGCTTTAAATTGTTTGATGTATGCAGATGACATAAAATTAATGTCTCAAACCAAAGAAGGGCTACACAACTGTTTATCCTCATTGGAACTTTATTGTAAAAAATGGAAATTATCCTTGAATATAGAAAATAACTCAAATAATAGTGTTTAATAAATCAGGTAAATTATTGAAAAGACTGTAATTTTTATTTTGTGTTCAAGAGTATAAATACTTAGGTATTGTAATGAGAGCACCAGGTTCTTTCAGTACTGCAGTTGAAGATCTTAGTAAGAAAGCTCTTAAAGAAATTTTTATGATTAAACGTAAATTTCATTGTGTACATAATAGTACACCTTTGCTCTTAAAACTTTTTGACTCCTGTGTTAAACCTGTACTTCTATATGGAAGTGAATCGTGGGGTCTATACATTCTTAACCTGAACAAAAGATTAACACCGGGTATAAATGATGATTTAGAAAAGACTTTTTAAAATTTTGCACCTGAAAAGGTTCACATTCGATATTGTAAATTTGTACTTGGTGCCACTAAATATGCTTCTAATATTGCCAGTATGGCAGAACTTGGTCGCTACCCGATTTCTCTATTTGTTATTTTGCAGTCTCTTAAATACTGGCTATATTTGTATAAAGAACCTCTTTTGAATTTTTCAAAATTAGCATATAAGTCAATCGAAGAAGTTGACTGTACCTTTCCATGTACCTTTAATTAACACATTTTTCAGTTTCTAAATTTCATTGGTTTTGACCATGTCTGGAATAATAAAGGAACACTGTCAGAAGGAAAACTCATATCTGCAGTGAAAAAAAGATTACAAGAAAGATATGAAAAATATTTCTTCTCACTTTATCAGGTGAAGACCAAAACAAATTACGTACATATTACAAACTTAAAAAGGAATATAAACCTTAGACTTATACAAAGTTGAATATCTCGAAACAATATATTAGACAGTTCTTTAAATTAAGAATTTCTAACCCTAATTTACATATCGAAAAAGGCAGATATAATAATACCCGTTTGGGTCAAAGAATATGTAAACATTGTAGTGATAACAAAATTGAAGATGAGTTTCATTTCATATGTGAATGCAACCTCTATCAAGACGATAGGAAAAAGTTTTATGATGACATTGTTAATATTATACCATGTTTTTGTAATTTTGATAAATTTAGATATTAAATGAACTGTACGGAGACTGATGTTCTCAACAGATTTCTTATATATATATATATATGCATCATAATCAGAAATTCATCTGTGGGAATAATTGCATAATTGATGTGTGTGTTTTGTCTATTGCATATATCTGTTTGTTATACGTCACAAAATTGCTGTTTCTTTTTTGTATTAATTTGTTCTATGTTTTCATGTATTTCAGCGATGATACTTTTGTACTGGATTTTATACTGAATAAAATTAGTTAGTTAGTTAGTTGAATAATCACGTGACATTATTATTTGTAAACAAACGAACACGTGTCGGAACTTTCTATACAATTCCAAATTTTGATTTTTTTTTACAGATTTTGCAAAACTTGCTGGATTTCCACCTATTTGTCTAACCAAATGTTTGTCTCAAAACTAAAAAAATCTGGAAATCCAGCATATAATTCTTCCATAGGGTTGAGAATAAATAAATTGTCTGGAATTCCAGCATCTTCCATAAGGGGGGGGGGGGGGGGGGGGGGGCGGGTAATTATTTCTGGAATAGAC